GCTACACCACCAGCTACACCACTACACAACTACACGACCAGCTACACAACTACACAACTACACCACCAGCTACACCACCAGCTACACCACCGGCTACACAACTACACGACCAGCTAATAAAATAAACACAACATTAAAACACGTCTCAATAAACGGTCAGAATAAGACAACATGACCACACGACACAGCCAGGCGCAGAGAGCGCCGCCTGATCCCTGCAACACGATGACCAGAAGCACACGAGTCAAAACCAAAACCAGACGGTTTTTCACTGCAACATGTTTTATTTTTCCCACATCTTCAGTTTGTTTTGTTTGTGCAGAAAAACAGACATTTACTCTGATTACTCAAACATCATGTAGGAGTACACGATTACAGGGCGCTGCTGTCACAGCCAATGGCAGGACTGCGAGCGCCTCAGACTCAGAGCGGCATCAGTAGTATTTCCTGGTGAACGGAGGGAATGTGAGTCCGGATGTTTCTGTCGGCGAGTCCCTCCCACGCTCGCCGACGCAGCCCATTCATCCCGGACAGAAATAACCGGCGGCCGGGGAACCTCGCTCAACAGGACGCCAGGAAATTCTTTCAGTGCATCTCTGAGCGCTCCGCCCACTTCCACCGACCGAGTTCAAGGTCAACGGCAGGCAGACGGCGGCCCGCTCTGCCGCCGCCGACACGCTTCACAGAAAGCGCAGCTGCTTTTACAAAAGCCGAGAGAGTCTCGAGTCAGCGGGAAGAACACACTCGGGTTTGTCGTCACGTCTGAAGTAACAAACGTCATCATTACTGACGCACATCAGCCTCAACTCGTCGATGATGTGTCATCAGGTCACGTTCGATTTGAGAGAAAAGCCTTTGAACGCCTGCGTTTCATTAAAAATGGCTGAAGGTTTAATTACACTGATGAGTAGGGATGGGTACTGATAATTTTTGATTCTGTTTATCGATTCTTTAAAAAAGGAGAACACTAAGGTCGATTAGCTTAGAACTTTGTTTTATATCTTCTCTTTGAACAAGAGAGAAATTTAGGAGTAACATGGCCTTACAAACCCAACAGTGAGATCTTAAGAGATCCACAGCCTACGGCTCTTCAATGGGG